TTTTTTCCAGGTAGTGCAGCTGCTTTGATAGCTGCTCCTGACTGTTTCCACATGTCAAAGCATTTTCCTTTATTAAGGAGAAAAAATGGAAGGCCATTTTATGTATGTATGTATGTATGTATGTATGTATGTATGTATGTATATATATACACACACGCACACATACATATATATACATATATGTATATACATACACATATACACACATACATACATATATATATACACACACATATATATATACATATATATATACATACATACACACACATATACATGCATGCATGCATGCATACATACATATACATATATACATACATACACACACATATGCATGCATGCATGCATACATACATACATATACATATATACATACATACACACACACACACACACACACACACATATTTTCAAAGTTTATTGAATGAAATGGGTAAGGCTACAAGGACAGTGCCAAAGCCACAAGGGGAAGGAACCCCTCAAAAGTAACTCTACATATCCCCCCCCCACAACTCCATTCCATAATATACTTCCATCGGTGCCCCGGAGAAACACCCGGGGTCACAACCGGCAACTGTGCCCATAGTCCCAAACCCATCCTGTGGCAAGTGTCCACTGTTTAACGTTGCTTTCACCAGAAAGAACATCCTTCTGTTAACCTCATCTTTCCACCAGTGGGCTGGCACAGCACAGTCGAGCAGCCGATACACAACACAACTGTCTGGGTATGACTGAAAACCGTGGTGATTTTGTAGCAACCCAGGCACTTGATGTCCATGAAGTAGGACTTGGGGCTCTGCACCAGGTGCTTCTTCTTGTGCTTCCACTTCTCCTCCTCGGGGGAGGGGTGCAGGAGGTCCTTTGTGAGCGCCATCTTCACATGGAGGCAGCTGCAGACCGGAAGATGGCCAAATTGAAGGGACTCGTTTGAATACATCCCCAATGCAGCATGCGCTGGAAAAATATTGTTTAATTTGTCTATTTGCTCCATGAGGCACAATCAGTTTCTTAATCCAAACACCTTCACAAAGATTCTTCTTGAATTTCCTTTCATGTTTCCCTGAAATCAAACTTAAGTAACTTGGATGAGATCTGCCATTATGTGAACATACTACCTTGTTTCCTAAAATGACCAATGATTTTTAAAATCAAATTTTATGTTCAAGCATAACATTGATTTCTCAGGAATGTGATGTCCTGATAAACTAATTTTCTTGAAAATGCCGTCCCATTCTGTTTACAAATAATCAAAGAAAACTGTTACTACAGTTACTTACTCACTACAGTCAGTGAGTAAGATAACCATTTTCTAGATTTGATATATTAAATAAATACATCATGTATGGGAGAACGGGACCACAATAGATAGTATGATCAGGCATACTTAGTCATTGGATACATCTAGGCTACTCTCCACCTGGTACACATTTATAGTACACAATCCAAAGACATTACAGATGTATCAGGGCTGCTTCAACAAATTATATTTAACTGAACATGAAGGCTTAAGACTTGCGAACGTCAACTGTCAACATTCCCCAACCAGCATGTCTGGCTGGGGAATTCTGGGACTTGAAGTCCACAGATCTTCAAGTTGTCAAGATTGGACAACCCTGACTTAGAGGTTGAAATTATCTTGTGTTTGTTCTCTTGGGTATCTACTGCAAAGCAAAATGTCTTGTTTCTTAAAGCATAGTTAGAAAGTATAATTTGGAGATGTATGGAAACTAGGACTTCAAAAGTAGAAAATATATGTAGCTCAGAATTAAATGGTTGGGGTCTTCGGGTTTGAGAAAGAAACCCCTGCAGGGATAATGAAACTCAGAGAACCCCAAGAATCCAAGTCATAATTTTGAAACCAATTCTCTAGGAACATCAATATCTAAATTCATATTTAAGCCCTCTTTATCATTTTGCTTGTTGAATCTGTAGTTCTTCATTTTTTTTCCCTTCATAAACCTGCTTGGAGTTTTCCCTACTCTGAAGTTTCTCCATGTTTACATTCTCAGCACAGAAAAGATATTAGTGTACACAGTAGCGCTTCTGTCATGTTCCTCTTCCAGTGATCTAAGACTTCACTTGAAAAGGCCAGCTTCTGGGAAATAAGCACAGATTTAGTGTGACTTTAGCTTAAGGCCTTTCTTTGAGGAAACATTCCTAGGGACAAGAATGTGGAGCACGGCTGCAAAATCCAAGTTCTTGAAGACTAGAAGATGTTGTCCTTGTTTTACACAAAAACAGCCAGCCAGTCTGAAGACCCAGGAGGAGTGAAAGGTCAATATTTTCTTTTGTTTTATCAGCTACCACAAGCTGAATGGCTGCCTTTGTCATTTCCAAAGGATTCTCCTCCCTTTTTATTCTGGAAAAAAAAAGACCTAGTAGTAATGCCACTCCAATTTACATTGTGAACGAAGGATTACAGACCCACATTTCTTCTCTTCTTTTACATATTTTCCACAGTTTTTTGTGCTACAAAATACCTCATGGACAATGCTGTTTAGAGAGAAACTATTAATCCTACAAACTATTTACAAATATTTGTATAATGAAAGAACCGAAATCTTTGCAATCTACGCTGTGCGCAGCCCTAATGTTTACTCTCCCTTTTTACTGGAAGGTCCAGCATACTCTATCAAATTTTGATTTAGTAAATAAAATTTAAATCTGCGCTAAGTCCATAATGCTTCTATATAATATTTATAGACACAGTCATGCTTAAAGCATGCAGGATCTAAAAAAAGTGCAGCATTTAATTTACTAAGCATCTATTTATTTGGCTGCATGTCTTTTTTATTCCTTTCCTTTGGGGTCTGGCAAGGATAGGATTCCTACGGAAAGTTGGCTTCATGCTCCTAAAGAAAGCATAGTTGAGATAATCACAAGTATTTACATATGTATAAGCAAAATTCTTACTACGCTCCCAGCTTGCACTTCAGGAGAGACAGTGGTTCCTCCCCACCCCTCGCAGTTCCTTCTTTCTTTCTTTTTTTTTTTTGACAGCCAGTTAATAAAGACTCAACAATAAGCAGCTGCTTGTGATGTCATTTGGGACTTTGTCCACAGAGCTTGTATTTACAAGTACGGAGCCGCAGAAAAACTAACTGGCAGCAAACTTTATTCCTGCAGTTACAGTAGGACTTTCAACTGTGCTCATGATGAACTTGAGAGCTCATTCACTACTCCACACCAGAAGTTTTTAAGGCTTGGTAAATAAACACAGCATTCACTCAAGAGGATTCTGGATTGCCTGAGACATCCACGGGTTTTTTCATTTCTCTAGTACTGGAACAAGTTTTAATGGAGCAACAGCAAGTAAGGGGTTTATTGTTGTTGTTGTTGTTGTTATTATTATTATTTTCAAATTTCTGATTCTTTTCTTATGTCTGTATTTACTATGCTTCAGTCTTGCAGCTGGGGCTTACTGTTAATTAGCAAACTGGCAACTCTTAGACAGAATGTTAGTTAGGTGGTTCAATATGTTTTATGTATTTTCACATAAAACAGGAATGTCATAGCTGAGCATGGGTTTGATTTTGACTTCAAATTTTATGGATATGTTAAATTGTATCTCTTTTGGGGGTAATTGATTCATCTGTCTACAATTTTAAGGCTAATGCTATAATGAATATTTTGTTACTAGCTAAATATTGAATTTGAAAATATTAATCTACTATTTATATTTTGGGGTTATTTCTCAAATTATATTAGATAAGTGCTTCAAAATTGGATTGCTTATTTTGATAGATTTAGACTTAGGAAAAACACAGATCTGCACACAAGTTTTCAAAATTTTTAAAAATGTGTGAAACTATGCTACAAAAAATCCTTCATTAAGACCTGCACATGAAAGTTTGGATGATGTTACCAATAGTGTATAGGATGAAACATGACTGAGGAATGTTCACTTTAATCTTTAGTAGTAGAAGAAGGAGCAACTTCAAATCACAATTGCTGCATGCTACTGCAACATAAATTTTCAGAAAGCTTGGTATATATTAATCCAAAATTACAAATAAAGCTGCATGAAATATTTACTAAAGAGCAAGCAGAAAAAGAGATGATGTGAATTTGCCATGCTGTCCCTTCTCACCTTCTGGGCAATCTTATTTACTCATGTTGACATGGAAGAGAACATAATATGATTTAATGGGACTTAATCCCTTGTAAATCTGTCTAGAATTTGAGCTTTTGGATACAATCCCCTATGCACTTCCCTGGAGATAAGCCTGCTTTATCCCAAATGGGTATACTTCTGAATGATCATCCATAGGATTGTATTTTTAATTATCAAAGTCCCCATATTTTGTAGAATAATATATTTTACAATGTTTTCTCATTCCTTCTTCCTATTGCAAGAAGAGGTTGTTCATTGCTCCCACCACCTCATAGTGGCAGAGAAGATGATCAAGTTATCTTCTTGTGTTCCCTCACCTTCTTTCTGTACTCTCGCTTCATAAGGTTTTCATACTTTTAGCTTTGCCTGACCTTTTTATTTTCAGAATTCGGATGAATCTTTTGGAACGTTTGTATGTTTTCCATTTCATGATTCACTTTTCACTCTAAGGACACTGACTCTACAGATTTGAAGGGGTAGGTGAAGTACAAGTACACATGAAAACCAAGCCCTCACATCTTCAATATAGAATAGATTTATTCAACCCACATCAGAGGTGGTATTCAGCAGGTTCTGACAAATTCTGGAGAACCAGTAGCGGAAATTTTGAGTAGTTCAGAGAACCGGTAAATACCGTCTCTGACTAGCCTCGCTTCCATTTATTCTCTGCCTCTTGAGTCCCAGCTGATGGGGAGGAAATGGGGATTTTACAGTATCTTTCCCCTGCCAGGCCCACCAAGCCATGCCCACCAAGCCATGTCACACCCACCATGCCACGCCCACAGAACCAGTAGTAAAAAAAAATGATTCCCACCACTGACCCACATCATCTAAACCTTTTGTAATGGGATGAGTTGGATTATTTTTACATTCCTTCTTGTTTTATTTCCACCTTGGGTTTCCTTTTATCGTTGCTTAAATATTGTTTGTTTGTCCCACAGCCCACAAATTCTATGCCTGTACATTTATTCAGAATGTTCTCGTTACCTTATTTATTTAATAATATTTATATCTGTTTGTTTCATTTCATTGGAAACAATCCCAAACCAAGTAAGGAAGAACATTAGAGGCTTTGTAAGATTTAAAGATTGTAAGATTGAAGGCAAAGCTAGATAATCTGGGGCCCATTCCCATTTGTACTTTCCCACAAAGCTTTCTCAGATGACACCACTGGAATTCAAACTCACCATTTTTCACTTGTGTGATCTGATTTTAGCAAAAAACCGAACCAAAACAAAAACCTACTACACCAAATATTTCTATTAGATCTATGTGAAGCTTAACATACCCAGTTTAAATCCCTAGATTTCTCTTGGGAAGAAGAGTAATGAATGGAAAATGTAGCTCTTGGTTGCAAAAACATTGCCTAACTCATTTTTTTTAGGATGTAAAGGATTTAAAATAAGGTATTTACAAGCCCTATGGATATTGCTGTGGTGGCTTTTAGATCACAACAAGCAGTATATTTAAATAAATATACTAATGCAATTATTAATACATAATTAAGGTATTAATTGTAATTAAGACAAAGATATTTACCAATTAAGAGAGTAGTCTTTTGCATATAGTAGCACTTTTAAAAAATATCTATGGCTTCTTTTTCTAGCCACTTGTTCCTTGCAAGCTGCCAAGAATGTTAGATTTTTCTCCTTATTTCAGATTTTAAAGCATATAACTTTTGACCTTGACTTCAAGGCTATGTAGATTTGAATGAAGAGGAACCATCTTTGATTCAATCCCATCAAGACTGAGTGGCTGGGCTGTTGTAGCCATTTAGATTTGGGAATATTCCCAAATATTGGGAAAGGGGGGGCATACTTCTCCATCAAAGAATGGTGGACAACCTGTGGTACTCCTGACTCACATTTCCTAGATGAGCAAGAGGCAACTATGGCCAAGAAGGCCTTTTTGTGTGACTTCATCTGGTCCACCCTTTGAATCCTTTCCTAGATTGGAAGGCCCTTCAGACAGTCATTTTTGCCTCTGTCACTTTATCACTCAGTTATTGCAATGTGCTGTGCATAGGGATGGCCTTGAAGACCACTAAGAAGCTTCAACTGGTCCAGAATGCAGCAGGATGGGCAGTGCTGGACATGCATCCATATACACATATGACACCCTGTTTTGCAATCTGCACTGGTTCCTGTTATGATTCTGGTTGTGATTCAAAGTGCTAGTTATGTAGGTATAGCCCTACAAGGCATAGATCCTAATTACATGAGGCACCTATCTTGCATGGATTGACTCAATCCAATAGAATTGACAAGCTTGGGGTCCTTTCAGTTAAAGAGTATTATCTACAAGACCCTAGAAGCATCATTCTGTGTCTTAGCAGCTGGTCTCTATAATGAGATTTCCCCTGATACCACGCAAGCCCATTCTGCTGACATTCTGGAAAGTCTTAAAAACCTATCTGCTTTTCTCCAAGCCTTGGGTTAGGTTCCTTAGGGCTGCTGCTGGATTGTGTATTGGTGAGTTTTTGCAGCTTGCTATTTTATTCTCTTATTGTGTTTTGTTTTTATATTGTTTGTTTTATTGTACACTGGCCAAAGTCAGTTGAAGTTGTGTGATGTCTAAATTGAATAAATCAAATTGAAACAGAGAGGTAAAGTTACGCTAAGTACACTTCCGTGCTGCTACTATTTAGACCATTGCTGCACTGAGAAGAGAGAAGACCATTGCTGTACTGAGTTCCAGCAGAGTCTGCAGCAACACATCTCCCAACCTTTACCTCTACTTCCACATGAAAAGGAGAGGGAAGAAAGCACCTCAGCAGCTTAGCATTTTTGCCTCCTCTTCCAGTGATGAAATAAAGCAGGATATCAACACACTACATATCAGTGTGATCCCTGTTTCTTTTATTGGCTATAAGAGAGAACTACACAGCCCTCAAATATGCATTCTTTTGAAAAGGCCTGGACTTCCAGAACTGGAAGGAGAAATGTTAAAGGAGTCTTTTCCAACGCTGAAAGGGACCTATTAGATCTCACCGACTAGGCCTCCTCCGAGTTCCATCTGCTGGTCAATGTTGACTGGCAACTACGCGGAGGAGAGCCTTCTCGGTGGCAGCTCCGACCCTGTGGAATGATCTCCCCGTGGAAATTCGTACCCTCACCACCCTCCAGACCTTCCGNATTCGTACCCTCACCACCCTCCAGACCTTCCGCACAGCCCTCAGAACCTGGCTATCCCGTCAGGCCTGGGGTTTACAACCCGCCCGAATAGTATGAATGTTGTGTTTTTAATTATGTATTGTCTTATATGTTAAAAGTTTGTCTCCCCCCCCTTTTAAGTTGTGAGCCTCCCTGAGTCCCCCCAGGGAAAAGGGCGGCATATAAATAAACTTTAAATCTAAAAAATCTAAAATCTAAAAACAAAGCAAAATAACCAGACATGGATTTCACATAATTTTACCACTGGTTCCCCATGCACCGAAAATGGTGAGAGAGCACCTTCCGCACATGTGCACAGCCTTCTGTGCATGTGCTTTGCTTGTGCATGGGGCTTGCACACATGCACATGGCTTAGAAAACATGGCTAAATAGGGTGGCATAGTGCTGGGGCGGGGGTAGGCGGCCACACACAGGTCACCACTGCCAGTTCGCCTGAACTGGTCTGAACCGGCTGAATACCTCTACTGAAAATAACAAAACAAAACAAAATACCCTACCTTTCAACTGCACTATGCTTGAACTAGAAATTAATCTCCTGAAGTTATAAGAATAGCAAAACCCAAACCTTCTTTGAAGTGGCCCACAATATTTGCATACAAGTGCCTTAACCTGTAACAAAAACAGACCCAGGGAGATAGAATTAAGCTATAATGGGAGTTGCTTGTTTGCGGCTTACTTCAATGTATGAAGTAAGTTTGTAATGCATGGTTTGTGGCTTAGTGAAGCCACAAATAAGTCATTTGTGACTTACTCAACGGTTAAGCAAACCATAGATCAATGTAATATATAAACCAAACAGTGTGATATGTAAAACAGACTGTAAGAAAAGGGAGAAAGAAATCTTGCTGGTTCTTATTCTCTGAGAGAAATGGAAAAAAGAATTATGATTTAAGGATGCGAGGCAGATAACCTGTTTGGAAAGTGACACAGCTAAGAAGGAGGGTAAAGGGCCAGAGAATGACAAAGACAAATTCTTGAAAGGCAGAGAGAAAAAAATTGCAACTGCATGAGTTTTACCTTCATCA